CCGCCCGCCCCTCCACTCCACCGGCCCCGCCTCCCCGGCCGGCTTCCTTCGCCCCGCCCCTTCCGCGGTGCCTTGCCCCTCCCCTTGGCAACCCGAGCCCGCGTCATTCCGCAAGGCGCCGTGAGTACGCTCCAGCTCCACGTGACTCCGAGTGGGCGCTCTGTCAAAGCTTTCGCACGGAATGTTCCATCTGGCTGAGGCTGGGAGGGGAAGAGCGGGATCGCGCCTGCAGTTGGGAGGGCCTGCCTCATCCTCTAGCCTTCCTTGTTAGGAAAACCGTGCTGTAGGTGCGATTTCCAACATCCTGCCGCTGTCTGATCTGCGTGCGGGGGAGGTGATCAATAGTCACAAATGCCAAATCTCTTCGGTTTTTAGGCGCTCATTTTGCAGGGGTTGCTAACAAGTCCCTGGGAGACCACACAGAGTTCAAGTTATTTTTGAAAGGGACTTTTTTGCAGTATACAGCTAAGACTAACACAAAATTTTTTGTATTTAATCACCTTTGCCTTCTTTTATTTTTCCCGCTATCATTTATTATAAGGAAAGATACTCAAATTTGGAGTCGGAGAAATAGGCACTGACAGATTATTCAGTTAATAACTGGTCTGTGTGAGACAAGAACTACACAGACAAAACAATAGAAAATACAAAAGAGTGTAATGTAAAATGGTGTGGTACGGTCTGTAATTGCTAATGGAGCACGGAGGACATACAGATCAACGTAAGAGGCTGTAGTCCCAGAAAACAATGGAGGAGGTGAGACATGTTGCAGTGGAAGCAGCAATCACTTTGGAATCAAGCAGTCCTGGTTATAAATTCTGCACCTCCACTTATTAGTGTATAACATTTGTCAAGTTTATTTTCCCATCTACGAAATAAAAATAACAAAGCTTTCCAGGATTCTGAGGGTTACCTGGAGTGAGGGGTGTCAAGCAGCTACATAGCCTCTACCTCGAATGTTAGTTCTGTATTCTGTCGTAATCAACGCCACCTCCTACCTCCCTCCTCAAACTCAATGGTTAGGATTTAGCAACGCAAGTGGCAGGACATGAGCAAAAGCTTGGAAGCGGGAAGGTCTGTGGCCTGTGCAAGGAACGTGAGAAAGCTGAATGATGCACAGGCTTTGTTGGGGATCAGTAGGTGAGTCCAGTTTATGAGGAGCCTAGTATGAGAAAACATCCTTGTGGTTAAATGATTGGTAGTACTGTGGGGCACCTCTGGAAAGAAGAAGGGAGTGAGATGGGGTACCCAAACCTGCATGGATTTTGGGAAACAAAGAATCTCCAAAAAAGGAGAAAATTTCCCAGTTTATTCTACAAAGTTAGCATAATTCTGATAGCAAAACCCAAGGCAAACAGTACCAAAAAAGAGGGGAGGAAATTCTTCTGTTCTCACTCTTTGTTACAAAGACAAAATTGAGTATTAACATATCAAATCCAGTAATGTGGTAAGAAAAATTCACACCACCACAAAGTATGGTTTATTCCAAGAATGGTGGTTTAACATTAAGAAATCTGCGCGTATAATTTATTAAATTAAAGGAGAAAAGCCAAATGATATTCTCTAGGGATGCACTGTATAACATTCAACAGTCATTTCTGAATCTTAAAAATTCTTAGTAAACTAGAAACAAAAGAACATTTCCTTAATTGGATCAAGATAATCATCAGAAAACAACAGTAACATCATATATTAGAGTGAAATGGCAGAAGTATTCACATTAAAGTCTGGGACCCAACAAGGATGCAGGGCTGTAACAGCTATTATTTAATATTTTTCAGGGTGTCCAACTAAATGCAATTAAATGAGAAAAAAAGAAAGAAGAGGTTTAAATACTGGAAAGAAGAGACTAAATGGTCCTTATTAAAAATAATCACAAAAGAGCTCAGTGTTGTGGTTAATTGCTCTGGAGCCAGACTGCCTGGTCCCAAATTCCGGCCCTGCCACTTAATAGCTTGTTTGACTTAATAGCAAGTTACTTTCCTCTTGTGTCTCAGTTTCCTCAGCTGTAAGTTGGGAATAGTGTACACATCATAAGGTGGTTGTGAAGATTAATGAGGTAATATGTGTAAAGCATTTAGACTAGTGCCTGGTGTATGGTAAGCACTCAATGACTGAAGACTATTAATAATCACAGCTACAATACCGTCTAAAATATAATCTAATCTTTTACTTTTTCAAAGAAAGTATTTTAGCTTCTAAGAGCCACTTCTATTCAAAACATCTGTGTTTCAAAAGAGACTCTTTGCTTTACATTTGCATTATGGCTTTTCCAGATGAACTAAAAAAACATTTATTCAGCAAATATTTGAGGATCATCTACTGGATCCCAAGCACCGTGCAAGGCACTAGGAATAAAGTGGTGAACAGGACAGAGCAACTCTATCCAACAGAACTTTCTGCAGTGGTGGAACTGTTCTATAGCCACACTATACAGTACAGTAGGCATTGATACAGTAGCCACTAGCCACATGTGGCTATTAAGCAACTAAAATGTGGCTAAGGAATGGAATTTTTCATTTTGTCATTAAGTTGTTTTTTGTGTGTGTGTGTGAGGAAGATCAGCCCTGAGCTAACATCCGATGCCAATCATCCTCTTTTTTGCTGAGGAAGATCGGCCCTGGGCTAACATCCATGCCCATCTTCCTCTACTTTATATGTGGGATGACTGCCACAGCATGGCTTGATAAGCGGTGCATCGGTGTGCGCCCGGGATCCAAACCTGCAAACCCCGGACTGCCAAAGCGGAGCTCGTGCACTTAACTGCTAAGCCACCGGGCAGGCCCCTATTAATTTCAGTTTAAATAGCCACATGTGGCTGATGACTACAGTACTGGATGGCACAGTTCTAGAGGAAGTGACAGACAATAAACAAGTAGAAAAAAAAAATAAAGCTTTTTAAATAAAGGAAGTTTCTGAGGAAAATATCAATACAAAAAATGAAAAGATAGTGGTATAGAGGTATGAGTTGGGTAGAACTATCAATGGACAAAACAAAATGTATTACTGGGTACCTGCTGCGTGCCAGGCATACTACTAGGTAAGAAGTATACACCATGGGCCAGCCCCGTGGCTTAGCGGTTGAGTGCGTGCGCTCTGCTGCTGGCGGCCCGGGTTCGGATCCCGGGTGCGCACCAACACACCATTTGTCCGGCCATGAGGCCGCGTCCCACATACAGCAACTAGAAGGATGTGCAACTATGACATACAACTATCTACTGGGGCTTTGGGGAAAAAAAGGAGGATTGGCAATAGATGTTACCTCAGAGCCGGTCTTCCTCAGCAAAAAGAGGAGGATTAGCATGGATGTTAGCTCAGGGCTGATCTCCCTCACAAAAAAAAAAAGAAGTATACACCAGTTAATAAAAGTTTCTTAAACTAGGTTAGTTTCCAAAAGATTATTCAGAAGTTCCTTTGTTCATGAGTCCATTTGTCATAAGTCCAGGATGTCTCTATATAAGCAACCAACTTGTATAAATCTATATAAGTGTAATTCTCACCTTTATTTCTTTTTCATTATCATATAACTCTTTTTATAACAGATCCATAATCCCTTATCAACAATTTCAAAATCCAAAATGTTTTGAAAACTGAAAGGTTTCTGGAAGCTTATGACAAATTCATTTAGCAGGAAAACCTCACCCACTATGACATAAGGTGTTAATAGTCTTTGTAACATTCAGTGTGAATATCCATATATGTGAGTGCATAAATATCAGTGTGTTTGGTTATTGGGTTTGATTAAGGCCTAACAGGTTGGAAGGAACTTTCTGGGTGATAGGAATGTTTTTAACCTTGATTGTGGTAGTGGTTGCATGAGGGTATACAATGGCCTAATCTCAGTGGGTACGCTTAAAATGGATATGTTTTATTACATGTAAATTATACTCCATTAAAATTGGTTTTAAAAGAAAAAACTGAGAGTTTTAAAAATTGTTTGTGCATATTCTTTTCTTTCTTTTTTTTTGCTGAGGAAGATTCACCCTGAGCTAACATCCACTGCCAATCTTCCTCTTTTTTTTCTTATGTGAGCCACCACCACAGCACGGCCAGTGACAGATGAGCAGTGTAGGTCCGTCCCCAGGAACCAAACCAGGGCCACCAAAGTGGAGCGCACCCAACTTAACCACTATGCCACCAGGGCTGGCCCTGCATGTTCTTTTCTAAAATCCAAAATATCCTCTATTCTAAAACACATTGGTACCCAAGGGTATGGAAAAAAGAAATGTAGATTGGTATCACTTTGAAGACATTCCATGTTTTTTCACTTATGGTACATGATGTGATTAATAATGTCATACCATCTAAAAAAATAAAATCAACCACCAAAACCATCTGTTGGTGGCAGGTAGAGTTCATTTACTTTTCCTCCGGCAATAAGATTTCTTTGCCTCTATAATAGTTGTTTTTGTTTTTCTAATTAAAAGGATAGAGGTGGAGGATCCT